TAATTGAAGGATCATATTTTCAGATGGTATGTTTGTTAAGGAATTGTTTACAGGAGGCAGTGACGGACTTTGCATTTATCGTGGATGATTTTCCAAACTTCAACATTATCATCAGTCGACCAAAAGATCTAACTTCGGTAAAACATGTTATTACACTTTTCCTCAACATGACTTCTTGCAATGAAAGTTTTGAGACTGATATGTCGCAGTGAAGATTGTATGAAACTCCGCAATCTGATAAATAGGATCCAACAATATATTCTGTGGCCGTTGACATGCTCCGGCGGGCGATTGCTATTGACCGTAGAAATATTTAACCATACAGTCGCCGAAGCAAATGTGACAGAGACATATTCAACTCAAATATTAAAAATCTAGTTGTGACTTTCCAATATATGATATATTTATATGGCATTTTCAAAGAATAATTCAATTGAAGCTAAAGGTATAAAGTCAAATGGTTGCTTTTTAAAATTGAAAAGGTGCATGTAGGAGAGTTTTTCGTCAATTTGAAACCCATTGTTTTTCTATCAAACAAGTGGAGGTATTTTAATCTATCCATTGTGTGACATATAATTATTATGAAGTGAAATATTTTAGTTTGACTTCGGATGAGAAATATCTTACAAGCAGTGTCCCTTTAATGGCTAAATGAATATTGATTCTGTCTTTCAGCAATATATCATCTTTTGGGACAAGCTTAAAAAATAAATTAACCATTTTGTTTCTTTTGGTGAGAACTACCTTGCAAGCAGTGTCCCTTTAAACAGCTACATGGAATTAGTCCCTCAGCAATATATTATCTTCAAGGGTAGGCAATTGAATGAAGAATCAAAAATAGATTGACCCATTAGTTGAGAACTACCTTACAAGCAACTGTCTCATTAAATGGGTAAATGTATATTGATTCAGCCCCTCAGCAATATATTACATTCATGGGCAGGGATGACTGATGAATCAAAAGTATATTGACCCTTTGATTCTTTGTTAAATATAGTTTAGTGTTCATTAGGATGAGAACTATCTTACAAGCAATGCCCCTTTAAATGACTGAATGGATAATGACTCGGTCCCTCTGCAATATATCATCATCAGGGGAATGATCGATCAAAGATAGATTGGCCTATTTGTTTCTTTGGGTGAGAACTCCCTTACAAGGAGTGTCCCTTTAATGGCTAAATGGATATTAATTCAATGTCTCTTCAACATATCATTTCAAGGGATAGACATGACTGATGAATCAAAAGAAGATTGGCCCATTTGATTATTTGTTTAAAACATTTTAGTGTTCATTAGCATGAGAACTACCTTACAAACGATGTCCCTTTAATGACTAAATGGATATCAATTCAGTCCCTCTGCAACGTTTCCTCTTCAGAGGCATGCATGACTGGTAAATCAAAAATAAATTGACCCATTTGATACTTGTCTGATAGTTTGTTGCCTTGGTGTCTGGCAGATCCAATATGGCCTCCTTTTTAAACTATTTTTTTGCTATACTTTCACATTGTATATCTTCCGCAGCCAGGACCCTCTCTCATTTCATGTTTGAACTATGCAATAATGTCAATACTAAATAATAAAGGTAAAATCAGAGGGGTCTGACCTGCGGAAGCACCTCAATCTGTCAGTGACTATATAAGGTCATCCATTCTTTAAAACAAGAACACAATAGGGTGCCTTTCAAAACAATAGGATTACAAAGTATCTATGCATGGTTGATCTGCTTAGTGAAGGTTATTATGCCCAGACACAATGTAGTTTTATACTGTCAAGTCAGTTTAAGTGTATTTACAAAAAATCAAGATTTTATTAAAGGTTTTGTAAAATATGTGAAAATTACTCACTTTAAGAGTCAGAATGACATGTGTTAAGAATCACTGTAAAAACAACTTTTTACCATATTCTAAATATTATTTTTGTGATTTGTTGAAAATATACTTCTTAAAGATTCATATTATATAAGAATAATGCTGGAATTCCAATTTAACCTTTTCAAAAAATTTCTAAGTCCTTATATGTACACTTATGGGTACGGATCCTTTGCACATGTAAAACTAGTTATATCTCTGATATAAAAATGAAGTTTCAGTTTTATTCTTTCAAATTCCTGATATATTTGGGTCAATTTCAATATGACGTCAATCCTTGTTACACTTGAAACATTGATCAATTGTCGTATTCGTTGTTCCCTCTTCAAAAGAAGAGACGCGAAAGATTTTCATCAAAATAATTCCCATGATGCAGTTCGCGGAGGAACAAATTTATACTTCCTTTTTTCAACCATCGGGTTTAACATGGGGATTTTCACACCTATTTTTCAATCGATATATTTGTTCTTATTCCATGATGGTGAAATTCCCTGCAATTTGATTGGTCCACGTGACTTAAATATATTCTGTATTTACACGCACTTTCCTGTGTCAATGACGTCAGCGTTGGGATACGGTCCAGTATCCCAACGCCCCAGATTTCCATCCAGGATATGACTGTTACTGAAAAAATCAATGGCGATTACTTTACACCAACGCATGCTTATCTTTGAATTTTGCTATAAATATCTGATTCAAATATCAGAAACGTATACTGTGATCACCACAATTAATAATTTTAAGAGGAAAAAAAGCAAACAACAAGGACATAAAGATTTTGAAGGAATATTGATGTAAAATATCTCTGAGGTGAGAAGGTTGATCTGTTTCTCCGGCCCCAAGCCAACTGACTTGATTTAGGCGAGTTTTATATGGGTAATCATGGAATAAAAACGTTATTCAATGATTTCTTGTGAAATACAGAAAATATTCTTCCCTTGAACGTCTGTATTTCACTCTGCTAGCGCATCGTGAAATACAACCTTCTCGGGAAGAATATTTTCTGTATTTCACTCGAATCATTGAATAACTTATAATATTCCCGTACGGGAGTACAGAAAAAATTATCAGAAACGATTGATCTCCTCTAAATCTTGATATAACAGATATTTCTCTCATTGATTCATAGTGGTGAAGACGAACTGAACATTTGACCAGGTGTCCAAGGCAGGTGTTTTCCTTGTACAGCTGCCTTTTGTGCAGATGTACAAGACATCATTTTTTACAAGTTACAACTAACTAACAACAGGAGCTAAAATACACAGTCTCTTCTTTCTTTCCTGAAAATATGAACACTATTGGATAAGTATTTTCCAAGATTGGGTTGCGTTTTTAACACCCTGTACTAAGTCATTCAACCTCTGGTGGCGTAGGGTTATTTGGTTTAATCAAAGCTCCGTATTAAGCTACTACCTTGAAAATTGAAATAAAAAAAAAACATTTGTGCACCATCTTCAGAGAAGATGAAAAACCAAAATTTGATCAATTGTTCAAGTGTAACAAGGATTGACGTCATATTAAAATTATCGGGAACATGCGTTATTAGACTCATATTTTTGATTCCATTGCCAATAATTTTGAATGATAAAACTAAAATTTCATTTTTATATTAAGGAGATTAGTTGTTTCACATGTGCAAAGTTTTAGAAGTAGAGGTAAGAGGGTTTCGGAGATATCAGGTGACAAAGTGCGACCCATTCTTTGTGTATAATCCACACGTGTTTATGCTTGTAGAGCTCCTCTGAAGCATGGCCGGTTTACTGGTGCTTCATCTTCTACATACTCAGAGAAGACAAGAATGATGCTTTGTTTAGAAAAATGATGTCGAATAACGATGTCATTGATTGGACCCGGAATACAGAAAAATATTTGTTTACGTATGGTATGTCACTCCAGTAAACTCTCCATAGTCCATCCCTCTCGCAAACGCTCGCATATTTTCGATTTTTCACATTTGCTTCATTAGGGAAAAATATCAAACTCGATGTGAGATAGAAACCTGAAACTTGCTGAGTACCTCGAGGGAATCATAAAACTTATTCACGGTGATTATACCACATGTTAGAATCTGTTTTTGTTTGACAATATAGAAAAAACGTCAAACATAGACTTGCTTAAACGTGCTTTCCAATGTGAAGTCGAACTTTTGTTTCATATAATACTTTCTACAATAACCATTTTGTGATTTCTAAGTCAGTCAGTATTTACTAATGAACTGAACTTTTCATTTCAATATTCCTAAAACCAAAGATATTTGGGGTTTTCACGAAAATTGAGGCAGGTCTGTTTTGAGAAATGGGTCCAACATACTCCAAGGTAATAAACCAAGATCAGATGATGTTAAGGCCATGTAATTTGTTGCATACAGTATGTAACTTTTATGTTATTCTTTTTTTACCCTATATAATTGTATACCATGTAAATGTCTAAATGAAAAGATGCAATTAAATCGCACTAAGGTAGAAACACAATAGAATGGACTGTCTTTTATTTTTAAGAATACCCAGCTATAACAAAGAGGAGTGCATTATTTTATATTGTTTTTTAAGAATGTACACTTGGCATTAGCTATCCAAAACCAGCGTGGCACAAAAGATGATTGACTGGCTCATGCAGTGCAGTAAAGCTTAACTAATTACTATACCCTATTTACTCTTCAATAGTTGAATAGTAAACACAAAAGAATTAAACTTAAAACTATGCATGCCCTGTTAAATACAGTGCACTGTAGCTGAACGAATTACACCCGCTAAATTCTCAATACACTTACCTCATAGTTAACACTATTTTCTTTACTGTATTGCCTATATTTACTGTTATTGAAAATTGTATATTGGATGTACGTTTGGCCCTAAAAGGGCATCAGTACTAATAAAATCCTATTATTATTATAGTTAATACAAAAGAAATCAAATTTTCTAAAATTGGATCATGGACCACTTACCTTTGATAAGTGCCAGTGCCCATTGTGTGGTTTAAGTTAGTTAGATAACGCCCCTTGGTCATTAATGTTTTCTAACAACCAAGACTTATTGTTTATTAATTACATAAAGAATACATACATTACATACAATACAGTCTTGTAACGTTATAGGACTATCTGAAACACAAAAATCTATATTCGATGAGGTCGCTCAGACATATGGTTGGGTTACTTGGGGTGAAGGTCTGGAAGGAAAGACATTCTCAATACAGGAGGATGACATTAACAATGCCTTAATGTAAGTATGAAAAATACTAAAAGATTTTAGCCACTCATACCAACAATTTCTGGGTGCCATTTTTAGAACACAGCCTAATCTCTGACAAATTTTACTTGGTTCTTACGCTGATGAACATTTTTTCAGTAACCCAATGAGCACTAAAATAACATTTTTCAAATAATTGAAATTATCTCTCCAAATAGTGACACTGCATAATAAATATGTCTATATTTCAAGAGAAGTACCATCTATAAAGCAGTTAACTTGTTCAACACTGCGCCTTGATGAAGCCGTTCTAGTTCAGCGGCGCTGGCAGCATATCCATACAGATGACCCGAACGTCACAACAGGAATAGAGTTCTGCATTAAAAACTTTCCAAATATATGTCTAAGGAATGATAAAGATGAAGTTATTGCGCATATGTTGACTGCATTCAATGGTGAGATGCTGATGTTAAATGTGACTGAATCCCATAGACGTCAAGGACTTGGTACAGCTGTGCAGTTATTGCTGTGTAGAAAAATATACGAGCAAAATGAACGACCGTTTTGGATAGTGTTAGCAAATAATGAACAGTCTATACAGATGAATGCAAAAATGGGTGCTAAACTCTTAGATAATGGGAAGATAATGTACGGATATAGATATAAATACATTGACTAAATATTCTAAATTGTGATGGATGACACTCCCTAAAATTGGGTAGTAAATTGGGGAACATGTTATTTATCCTGGTTAGTTGCGATTATCTTTCATATATAAGTTAGACCTTGTCTTAACCCTACGTGTGTCTCTATTAAATCTTAGTGCGTCTAAAAACTCAACAAAGAAAAACATTACCATAAATTCAGTGATAATTACATCAATTTCATTTAGTTTATAATGAAGCCACATGTCTCCTCTTTCAAATGATATGTCAATTGGATCATGGACCACTGATTAATCATTATTTCTTCGCACATAGGTGAAAATACCATTGTGCCAAGTTTGAAACATCCTAATTCAACTGATCCTTAATATGCAAGCAGGTAAATCGTTATGTAATTGGGGTAAGGAATTAACTTCTGGTCACAAGGCTTACATGGCATACATTTCAGACTTAGTTCTCCTAAGAAAAAATGATTTCACTTAATGTGTTTATCGGTATCCATGATAGTTGATAATTTAGTTAACAGCGTCATCAAACATATGGAAAAAAGAAGTGGCAGTGGCATTATCAAAACAGTCAATTAAAGTCACTATCATTTTCTGTTTTCTTAAGAATTATAACTCGTGCAAACTACATTTCATGCCCATCATTTCTCTGCAAGTAGATATTGGCTCTTCTCTTCATGTCACGCATAGCTCTTTGAATCATATGCGGGTTCTGGTAGAGAGCAGCAATCTCATTGCTGATTCTTTGGCGTAGTGTGCTATGTCTAAACCTTGGTCCAGGGTAGATGTTTGACCATTGTGCAAAAGGAATGATTATTCAGTGGTCCGGGGTCATATATGAATGAATGACATATCATTGGAAAGAAGAGACACGTGTCTTCATGTTTAACTAAATGGAATAAATGTAGGTATCACTGATTTTGTGATTTTGCAATATTTTGCTTGTTGCGTTTTATAGACACACTGTATATAGTTGTAGTACAGCAGATTGGAATCGAGTGGGGTGGAGTGGAGTAGAATGGAATGAAATGGAGGAGTGGAGTTGTGTAGAATAGAGGAGTATAGTAAAGTGGAATAGAGGGGAATTGAGAGGAATAGAGAGGAATGGAGTGGAATCGAGTAGAAGAGTAAAGTGGAGTTGAGTGGAGGGGGATGAGTGGAATAGAGTAGAGGAGTTGACCAGAGTGGAGTGGAGGAGAAAGGAGAGCAGTGGAGTGCATTATTCTATTGTATTGTATAATATAGTGTTGTTCGTAAATAGATGGCGTGGTTGAAAATAACATTTTGTATTGTTTTATTGCACTTTTAAAATCTTGAAACTTGGAGTTTAAATAACATCATATTTAACATTTTCATCTTTTTTTCAAAATTAACAAGTTAATGGCGAAATACTTCAATTTTAAAATATTTTGGGCTCATACAATTGTTAGTGTATTTTCTAAAATTTTCCAAATTTATACTTTTTTTTAATAAAACTAAAAGAATTTACAATAACACATCCATATTGTATTATTTTTCTATTTTTATTGTTACCATTTTCATCATTTTGGAAAATATAGAGACTTTTCCCCATTTTGGCAATTTGAATCTTGAATAACTTCGCCAATTTACAAGTATAACATATCGTGCGTGGATCTTTTGTGAGATAATATAAGCCTGAGACACTATGATAAATAGTATTTAACTAACTATTTGAAATTGTAAGGAATATATTGGTAGGCCAACTGTTCACATTGCTTGTAATTTTGTTGCCCCTTTGTATCTGATTCTGCCTTCAAGTAAGTTTATTTTTACTTACACACTTGTTTACAAAACTGTACATGTAAGCATTCAGTTTATGTACATCAATTGTATGCGTTATCACTAGTAAAACAAATTGTACGTGACCTGATCCATTTCATGTTTGATTTATAGTGTGGTTTCAACACCTTGTCCAAGCAAACTGTTTTTTGGCATATTTGGCTTTTTCGGGACTGGTGGACGATTTGATTTTTTCATAAGGTTCTTCAGCTTGCCGCATATTTCTCTCATACAAGGACGTATTTTGTGTGGTCTCCAACATAGCGTCATGATCGCGTAGACGTTTTCTGGGCATTTGTCGGGTTTAGCCAAGGGAGTTTCCTTCGTCCCAAATTCCAGTTGTCGCTCGCTAACTTCAACGTTACTCAAACCATCGTAGGGTAGGCTCCCTTTCGAGTACATCTCCCAGAGCGTGACGCCGAACGCCCATACGTCATTCTTCGATGTGAACAGTATTCCCCCTTCATTAACGATGCTTTGAAAAACTTCTGGTGCGGTCCAACGCACCGGAATTTCAGAATCTCCCGTGCCGCACTCATCGCTACAATATTGATCAGTTGCTACTTTACGAGCCCTTGAAAAACCAGCCAGCTTTAGATTACCAGAAAACGAGAGAAGGCAGTTTCGCAACGCGACATCTCGATGTAACACAAACTTCATATCCTCTAACTTGGTTAGAGCCGATGCAAGCTCGTATCCGAATTTCAGAACGGTTGGTCCATTCACCAGTCTTTCTCTTATTGATTCGTTCGCTACTAATTCTGTAATCACATAGAATGGCTTCTGCTCACGACATACGCCGATTAGCTTTATAATGTTTTCGTCGTTCATTACTGTAATGTCGGCCATAAGTCGCACGTGCTCCATGAAATCATCCAATCTGTTTTCAGATGTAGCTTGTCTTTCGAATGCTTTGATCGCAACAGCGGTGTCATTATAGCTTCCAGAGTATACGGAACCAAAGCGCCAGCACCCCAAGAAATCTCCATTGATTTTGAGAGCTTCTGAGTTCAATATCCACTTGGGAGCTGGTAGTTCTGGGAAGGATAACGAAAATGGTCGGCGTAATCGCGTTCTATTTAAGCCACCTCTAGATTGAGAATAATAGTCCACGAATTCTTTTACACAAGTAAAATGTTTATTATTTCCAAGCGTAAGTCCTTGTGTTTTCTCAAATATTCGGTAGTGAGTAACACCGATATCGGTTCTGACAGACAAGTTGTACTTTGATTTGGATTCGGGGTTGTTAGAAACGTACACAATGAAACAACCGATATGATCCCGACGGTTTAGCATGATACTCGCCTCTTTTGACGACATTTTCTTTCCATTGTAAAACCAAGGTTCGTCCTTTGGGTCGCCGAAGGCAATAATATGAGAGAGTGGTATAAGTCCTTTCTTGCCTGTTTTCGTATCAACCACAAGCGCATCTTCAGATAGCTTTTCTTCTACTACGACCAGGTCGCCTTTTTTCAGTTCAACACTCGAGTCATTTTGCATTTTGCAATCTGCTTTAATGACTGAGATGGCAATTGATTCAGCAGTCGTCGAATCATTCTCGTTTGTGACTTGGTTTGTTGGTTTTGATTTCTTCAATACATCCAGCGAACCAATATCTTCTGTAAAAGATGAAATAAAATGTGTCTATTTTTCATTAAGAACCAATGTGACATATGGTCACATGATGTTGGATTTCCCTGGTGACGTTTGGTATTTCGTCAGGCCAGGATAACCTTTAAACCCGTCATAATATTCGAAGTAAAGTCTGAACTGTCTGATAGATGGAGGGTCTCATCTGGTCATCGAGGAAGATTTTACTAAACAATACACTATGAATTTAATAATGTTTGAACTCATAGATATGAAGAGAATATATGAGAAATACAGCACACAGTCCTATCTGTTAGCGATTTGCTACAACCTTTTTTATAAGGACCAGGAAGTTAAATTAACAAAACCTAGAATTTAACCTTTATGACGACTATACAAACATGTTGACGATAACAACCCTCTATCCACACATTACTTGAATTAAAGTCCTTCTCAAATCTGTTTTAAAGTTCAAATATCATACATTTAGTATACTTTCATGGTGGCACAAAAACGACGTTTCACCATTTAACTTTAATTTATATGTTTATTTATGGAAAAAAATCCCAGTTCTGTTTTTAATGATTCAAATAGGCCATTCGAATAGATATATATATAATTCATTTACATATACCTGTAGGGTTACATACATTCCACTCTATAAATTTGCAACCAGTTGGATTTATTGGATCGCCTATCAAAGCCTGTCAATATTTGGATCTTGATTTTGTCCATCAATTACAATTAGTTCGACTTTGAAAAATAATTTTTAGTCAAATATCATACACAAAGGCTATGATAAATGATCCAAAGGATCCGGTTGCCATACTTATGGAGGGGAGTGTATAATTGTTCTCACCACTTATGCATTCCTTAGCCGATTCATACGTGTCGTCCCCTTGCTTAACAGTGTTTGTTTGAATCCCGTCTTTCGTTTCTAAAATCATGTCTACCAAAAAGGCATGATCTTTCTGCAACGCCTTGATGAACGACCCGAAGGCCTCCGGACCTCGTTTTTCCAAAATGTCTAAAAGTGTTCGTCCCTTGTCCAGCTCTCTACCTTTCGCTTGTATATCTTCATACATTTTCCTTGATAGAACTTTATCTGCCAGGAGTTGATCCGCCACGCTGTCTACTTCAAGGTTTTCAATAATATTAGCCCGGCATGTCATTAAAACTTCTTTGTCTTGCTCAGCCATGGTAAATTTGCTATTGTTAGGCATATACGCAGCCATTTTCCGTATTTATGCCTTATCAGATATATTCATTCACATTGCATCAATGCCTTTACTTCTTTATTTCGACGTCTATATGTTTTCCAACTTTAAACTCATCAATACGCTCATAAACTCATAAGCTACTCTCAGGAAACATGTGTAAATATGTATACGTACTGTTCGTATAAAACTTAATTCGGATATGATGAATATAATTTTCGAAATTTATCAAACTATAAATAGCCTTCTTGAGTCACTCGTACTGTAAACTATGTTTACACTATATTGCTGTTTATGGTACAATTTAACCTGTGTCTAATTCGAGCGGCACTGGAACCAAGCAAAAGTGATCATTGGAGTGGCAAGGCGTTTACACCTCACGGTTCTTTATAATCAAAAGTAGATTAAATGTTGGGACCGAAAAAGCGTTCACAATGAGTAGGGTTTAGATAAGAGAGTTGTTCAGTAATACAGGTTTTGCTGTTTCGCTTTGAATTGAAACCACTTTGAGAAGGCGTATCTAGACGCAGGAAACACGTGACACATAACAGGGTTTTCATTGGAAGAATCGCACAAGGAAGTTTAAAAGTTTTGAAATTATTTACACATTTTTGATAAGCGATTCATCGCATCTACGGGAGCTGCAATTGTTTAGTTCAAATACAAAAGATCTAAAGCATTTAAGAGTCTACTTTCCTTCAATATCTTCCCATACTAGCATATTTTTCGAAATCTCAAAAGAAAAACATAAAATAACACTTTGAGAAACCCGTAAAACACTGCGATAAAAAAGAGCTAGAATTCAGTTTTCCCCTACAAAATAAATTAAAGTTACACGAACATGTGCATGTACAAAAACAACATTACATTCCATAAACTTAACAAAAATAGTATGAGTCGAACTACTAGCCGATGTTTGTTATCGTGCCATTGAAGTGCCAATCAAACAATTAAATATTTATATGATATGGTACAAACGTCCAACACACAAACATTTTTGGTATATCAAATAATATAAGTAATATTTGATTGTTTAATAACAAAATGAATTAATTTCTGTTGGAGGAAATTTTTATTTTCATAATTTTTACCAATAATGATGTAAGTATATTTTACCCGTCACTGAAAACCTAGTCAGTCACGAGCAAATGATCCTGCAGCTCCAGTAATTAAGTGAAAATTGAACCACTTCAGCTGGACGTTATCTGGTGAATTTCATAACGTCATTGTTGTTGCGTTGTGTTGACGTCCCGGGAGCTAAAGCGACAGCAACTCGAGAACTTTGTAACATCTCATCCACATATTTATTTTTTAAATGTTTGAGAATTGTAAATTCCATTGAAGCTCTTTGCATATGTTGATCTTTTGTAGAACCTAATGTACAGATCTGCTCATTTGAAGTATCCCGATGTTTATGGAGACAAAGGGGACATGCAATTATTTATTTCAGTATTTTGGTACATATGAACGACTTTTCGCCAAACTATGATTATATTCAGAGTAAAAATGTATTTTGCATCACATCATTAGATTCATGCTCACAAGAGTAACTCGATATACCGATTACACAAAGGATATCCTGTGATTTTTTGGAGTATTATATTTATCCACGAGTGGATATAAATTATTTCCACGAGAGAGCACGGCAAGAGATTGGTGATGTGCGATATCCACATGTGGATAAAATGATTTCACAAGGAAGTCATAGGATATCATATTTATCCCAAAGATTTCAAATTATTACTAATCGCATTCTAAAAATAGCTTTACAAGAAAATTACGATTTATAAACATTCAAAAACTAAAACAGAACTGGAATAATGAAAATAAATGGAAACGTAAAAGTCAGATTTAAGCCCTAAATGGACGGAAAGTTCTAAGTTCTAAAGCTGTTACACTTTACCATAAAACCATTTCATTTTTAGCGTGTAATTTAAAACTAATGGAAAATTAGTGTTCGCCGGATACGATTGGATAATGGATATCGCCTCATATCAATTACCCAAATGCGAGTAAGTAGTTACCAGTTTCACCACCAGGTGGCTGATTCGGGTCAATTAACATGGCAGGTATATAAGAAAGTTCCCTTAAACTTGAATATTATCAATTTAAGTGGCTCAATTTTCATATAACCCTTATGTGTCATACTAATGAAAATATGTCTAGTAAAGCAAAATATTATCTGTCCACTAAAAGAAAAGATATTTCATTTTTTGTGATTTTATAGCATGTGGTCTATGGGGAATCTCCCCGAGTCACATTTTCAAAGAAAATTAATTTTTCAAAGTTGATAAACACTTTTTAAAACCACATTTCTAGATGTAATTTTACATGTAGATTTCAAATATGATATTACTTTGACTGAATTTTGAATTTTGAATGACGTAAATCAAGATTATTTCTACTCGCATCTGGGTTATTTGATACGATTTTAGCAGTGTACCAAAATTCTATTGTGTTTTTCTATTCCCATATATTTTGTATGCCTGTTATAAATGTCAAAATATATGAAGTAAAAGAAAATGAAATCATTAGTAACAAAATTAAGGAATGTCAACATTAATTAACTTGCTAAATTGGCAAAACTGAAAGGATGAAAATTAAAAAGATGTGTGCGGAGTGGGACAGATAGACGGTCGATTTTCTAAAATCTCATAGTATATATGTGTTGATGCAGTGATGGTGTATGAAGTATGGATTTTATATGTTTACATATTGAAATAACTGAATAAAATTACAAGGAAGATTGGCTCCCAGAATGCAATTCCGATATTTTCCATCAACGAATCTGACCTTAAAGAATGTCGTGATTTTCACTTGAAATTTTGAATTGCGTTTTTGTCTTATTAAACATGTATAACAAACAATATATAAAATCATATAATTTGATCAAGATTGCTGATTTTGAATATATAGCCAGTTTGGTTTCAGACGATAACGACATCCTGACATTGTCATTGCAAGGAGGATTGGAAGCCAGGGTTCCAACTCGATATTCTTTAATCTCCACGCATGCGTCATTTGCTATTCGTGTCTGTATAATTTGTACGACTGCATGGAGAATGACCCGATACTCTCCAACAAAGCTATCGCTAGGTGATTGTTTTGCAGAATATCGGTGTTGCATTCTGGGAGCCAATCCTCCTTGTTGTCATTGTTAGAAAACATCCGGATTGCATTCTGGCTGCCAATCCTGCTGTTCAATTTTGTCTATTAGGTTGTTGCCAATTTGCACAAAATAATTTTCTTGAATTCTTTCCTAAATGTTTTTCCAAAAAGAAAGTAGAATATAAAATTGCAAGATGAATTACAGATTATCCAAAAGTTTGCAATTAGGCGGTTTATACTTTTCACTTCCCGGGAAATATTTGTGAAGTTATACCAATTAGTAACTGACACAATCAGATATTCAAGACTTACAAGAGTCGACAGAAAGAAAACTGAGACAATAGCTATTATTGTTAGCGTTTGTTTCCTTGCCTCTGACTCAATGTCTGTTAATTGTTCAACATGGCGTCGTGATTTTCGAACGGATTGAACCAGTTTAACGTTTAATACCGACACTGTAATCATAGGTCCAGCGTGTCTGAAGACGACCTGAAAAATGACTCCATATGTCATTTTAATAGTACTGTCGAAATAGAAAATCGCTCTTGATATGTTATATAAAATAGCTATGATCGTCAAAAACCCAACTCCTATTTTCATTCGTTTTGGGGTAGAAATCGTTGTCGCCTCGAGTGGTTTTGCGATGTAAATATAACGATCCACCGTTGTCAAAACAACCACCCATGTTGTCAATATATCAGTTGTCGATACTACAGTTATAACAACCAGTTCAGTATATTTTGTATTGTAACTTATATCGAGGTTCCAAAGTCCCTGATATTCTCCCATCCATGGTATATAGAATATTACAACACTTATCAAAAATAATGAGTCTGAACAAGCCAATGTTTTTAACAAAAACACACGGGTACTTCTCGCTGTTTCTTTTGATAGAACTATGAGTGCTAAAATGTTCCCCAACAATCCAAATAGGGTAACAATTATTTGTAGTGTAACTAACACAATGTTAAAGTCCAACAATCCATTCAATATACCCTCTGAGGTAAATGTGATGTTCACTTCTTTGTTTTGATCAGTCCAGTTATCCAATAGACTTGCGTTGTTTATAAGGAAAACATTTTGTAGACTTGTCGTGTTACCTTTATTCATGTTTTATATATAAACTTGCATACTGTTTTTAAATTTGCATTGTTTTAATAAAATGGGTTTTCTGCAACTTGCATGTGTAGATTTGTAGTAATATATTACGTATTTGTCAGTTTTCATTTGATTTACTTTCAAGCCATCCAATAGTAATTTTTGAAAGCAGACTATCAATCCAAAATAGATGTTAATATATAATTAAAACGTAATATGTGTTTCTCCTTTGGATTATCAACGTTTAACGATGAAGCGATCGGTTTATATGTCACACATATTCTATGTAATCTATACTTTGGTTTACTAATTTCGCTAAATGCTTGTTTTATGAGGACGAGAGTACCGAAAACAAATGTCAAATTATTAAACAAATAGACTTACACAAATGTCAGTTCATCTTTATTCTTCTTTTGGATATTAACCTTTCAGAATTTAAGCAACTGTCAAAAAATTCAGAACAAAAATAGGAAGAAATCAATTGGAATAAGTGGCCAATTACTTAACTGCCCCGGGTGTCCCTTGACTTCGAAAAGTCCTAATATATAAAATCCTCTGAGAGGAAGACAAAGTGTGATTTGCTACACTGGCGGATCCAGGGGAGGTTTGGGGGGGGGGGCATGGGGCCCGAAAATTTTGTAGGGCCTCAATTAGTGGGCCTTTTTGAATTTAGGGTGCCCCAAAGATTTTCTGGATTTTGGAATTTGCTCCCCCCCCCAACTTTATGAGCTTCTGGATCTGCCAGGTGCTAAGTCATTATTAGGTCTATGATGATAAATACACCCTCCTCATCAGGATGTATTTTACTTCTTTGCAATTGTTTTCATATAATCTGAATTTTGTAACTCTATGTATGATATTTTATATTTCAAAACAGCACCTATACATCTGTTTCTTTGATGTCATTGCAAACACTTATATGTACAAAAACGTGAAATAAATAATGGAGAATAATATACAATTAAATTAAAAAGAAAATACAATACCCATGATATCGGATATTTCTGTTATAGTTTTCTTGGTGAATATGTCCAATCACTAAAACTTTAATCTGGACAACCGTTCCCCACCATAGTGTTAAATGTGTTCTAAATTGGTGAATGCAAACTGTTTTATACTGAACGCACCACATCCCGTGTTTTTTAATTGTTATAAAAATCCAATTCGGGGATATAAGACATTGTTTTTGTGCGCTATATCATAGTATGGTTTATAAGGGGTGTGTTTTATGACTTGTTGTGTTCTGAGACGTTTCTTATTCTGGCGTGTGTTTATGAAAAATCAATAACGTCATAAAAATGAGTAGTTAATGAGTTATAAACTCTCGTAGCTTAGAGATGTTATATTCGTGAACTCTCGTTAGATCTTTTCTCAACGCATAGTAGGTATCTTTGTTCTCTGGCGATTTACAACCTGCAATGATAATGAAAAAGACGTCAAAACAATATTGAAACAAAATAATGGACTAAGTTGACACTACGCCATGGAGGTGTAGAACTAAAAGTATACGTAGCCTATACGAGTTTTAGTAAGTATACGGAGTAACAGTGATATCAAATATTCTATAATAATTATGTTTGGAAGAAATTCCGAAATAATATTACAATTGGATGACGCATCCTCATAAACGTTCATTGTATAATCACTCTGCCATGTCTACACCCATATCGTGGTATGTATTTGTATAAAAATGCCATAAACATCATGCATGAAATCCACACGAACGTGCAACATAGTGAAAACTATACTTACATTATTTATTTGAGATGTGAAGTGTGAACCATCAATTAAGACACCACCTTCCTATCTATCAGTACTAAAATGTGTGAAATGGTTAAAACGGTGACCAAAATGCTTATGTGAAAATTCAGAGTTTTAGTCGAGTACTTTCTCTATGGATATTGTGAGGTAACGTATAACCAGACATTGTTCTTAAAACTATAGCCATGTGCAGGAAAAAAGTGATGTGTATATTTATACATTTACCCATACATGGAACCAACTTGAAATTTCCATCATACATGCTATCCCGATAGTTCATTTCAGCTCTAAATCATTTGAAGTGGATTATAAAGAATATATATAAGATCTCATTGAATGTCTTGTAGATCCATTAAAGTAGATCCATTTCAACATTTCATGTACATTTACCAGATGGAATATAAACCTTGATTGAAAGAAAACTAGTTGAAATGTACACTGTCATGTAGTATTGCTTTTTATTCATCCGTAAGTTGATACTGATGTTATTGTACTTTATTTATTTCTCAAGTAATCCAAAATCACTTGCTTCAACCATTTTTATACACATAAAAAGTAAAAAAAAATGTAAATGAACGCGTTTTAAAACATTCACTTAAAATAACACATTTTGAAAGACAATCCTCTTGATAAACAGGTCCAAATAGGGGTGCATAATACAAACATTTTACACTTGTTCACAAACACATAGAAAATCCAGGAAAATGCATTTGCACACCAACCCATTTTATCTAAGCTACTATACGTTGGTGTTATTAAAACCTGCTTGTATATACATCCACATTCAATATAAAAAGTGTGAAACAAAAACTGCAAGAGTCAGTCAAAACTAAAATAAGCCCATTTAAAATTCAATATATGTTTAACGTCACCTCCCTTTTGTGATTTACTATAGGTAGGTTTTCAGATCACAAACAAGAATTCTAAGTGCTCATCCATGGATTTGCAAAGTTGAAAATGAATCTGAATGACAAAGGGACTTTGCAATAGTGATCTAGGGCCTTCTCGAGGACGTTAAACATATATTGAACAAAATAACTTGGAATGGCCTAACAGGCAATTCCATTCTCCATACGCAAGGCTACTCAACTCCCTCTGCGCTTGGAGAATGGACAATTCACACGTTGCCATTAGTAACATTTTCATTAGTTTGTTTTCCATTCTGTTTACTAGTTGTCACGGCACGCATCATGTTCATGACTTTCAACGGGCTCAAAACTGCCTTTCGCATGGCTTGCATTTTCTTAATTACCATTTGGTTTTGTGGATCTATGTCTAGTGTTGTTGGGTCTGTTATGTGTTTTGCCTTTATGAATCCCCGCTTTATTGCTTTCCCTACGAAGATTTTCTCATCAGTAACATTATTAATGTAGGTTCCCGATTCAGGTTCAAGAATCCCGTTCTTAACAGCATCTGCGAACGGTATTTTCTTCTTTAATTTCTGATCAACGACTCCGTATATGGCGTAGGTTTTTGATGTTGTCGTGTCGGCTTCGTCTTCTTCAACGTTTTCCTCTGTTTCAGTCTTGATTAATCCCTGTTCGATCGCTTCCTCAACCGTAATATCATCATTTGTAATAATATTTCTATAAAATCGACAATTCTCGTCAACAATCCCTTCAGACATTGCTTCTTCCAAACTAACAAGTTCACCAGTTGCTAAATTCGTGATACCCTTCACTTTATATGCCTTAGGTTTGGATTTCGTGATTGTAATCAACCCATAGACACTTTGTTTTTCTTCTGACTTTTTGGTTGATGTAAACTCAACTTCTATCAAACCTCGATTCATCGCCGATTGTATCGCCATCTTTTCACCAGTTGCCGTATCGAGAAATGTTCCCTTTCCCATATTGACTATACCCATTTCTGTTGCTTCTAAAATCGACACACGCGCGTCGTTTTTCGTGTCATGAACAGCACTTATGACAAACTTTTTCTTTTCTTCCTGTGATCCCGAAACATATGCCTCGGATTGGACTCGTTTTGGTGCCTCAATTGTCGTAGTTTCTGTAACCTCAGTGACGGTTTCCTTGACGAAGTGTTCTTGTTGCGTATACCTAAAATAAACACATAAGAACATTCATTCCTATGTATTCTTCAGAAATTCACGTACTTTAACAATACTATAAAGAAGAATATTTGATTCATTTTCATGAACCTACAGTAGACAGCAGTACAGCATAATTCAGTAATATATGTAGGAATTGGAAGAATATTTAAGAATAATCAAGAACAACAAATTGCTGTTCAAGAATATTTTTGAATATTTAATGAGCACAAAAACCTTGAGATGGATTTTTTGAAGAAAAATGAAGAATATTTAATCTTCTATATTCTGTAATGATTTACGAGCAGTATACAAGAATTTTTCAAGCATAATGATGATCCAAATTTCATGAATATTCACAAATACAAATAATAAAAAATTTTGAAGAACTGTCCAAATTTCTGTTCAAGGATATTATTGAATATTTCATGAATATTCTTCTTCTTTGAAGAATAGTTCATGAATTTTGTTACTGAATATTCCTGAATATTTCCTGATTATTCTTGAAATATTCATTACCAATTCACAGGGGTAAACAACATCATTTGTCATTTTTGAATAGATAAACGAGAAAATAGCAGATTCACACAATCACTTTTTAATTGAAATGATATTTTAGGACTACGTACTGTTCTGGTACACTAACAGTAACAGAAACAGAAGTCAGAGATAGGATTTAGAGAACTCATACACTGGCTGATCCAGGGGGGGGGGGCATTACTTGGCCTTTTCATATTTGGGCCAAATTTGGGGATTTAGGGGCCCAAAACGTTTTTCTTGATTTGAAATGTGGGCCCCTTGTTAGCTTCTGGATCCGCTAGTATCATACGTGTATACGTAGAATTATCATGGTCCTTAATGATTGATTTTCCTATTCGAAATATTCATTTATTTATAGATAAAACGAAAAAACAACCGGGGACAGCAATATCTGGTGTCTGATATTTCACGTTCTCGTAGGCTACAAGCTATCTTAAAACGTGTCGCTTAACACCTAATATCTAAACAAACCTGAATCGTTTCTGCAGAGGCGTGGTGATAAAATGATCCAATTCGTCGTTCACCTTCAAAGCAGGACTACAAGTCTCGAAAGATCTTCTCAATTCTTCCAAACCAAACATAAAGTTCTGAAATGATATATTCGGTATAATTTTAGCAACTTAATTTGGCTGAATGTCAGTATAAAGACGAATAAAATTATCTTCAGGGTCTACCTCTATCATCTATACCCTAAACATATCTAATATTTTTTATACCTTCAGGCCCTGTGTTTTTATCAACCATGTTTCGGTATATGAGAAACATTTAACTTTAATTATCTAACAAATTCAAAGAAGTATTTATCATACACTCCCTCCAAAAGTTATCAATCAGAGGTTTCCTTTCGGATCATCTGTTCAAGTATTTTTAATGTCTGGCAATTTTGAAAAGTAATCGAAGGTATGAATTCCAGACCTATAGTACTTGAGTGACAAACTAATTCAATCATGAAAAGTTTTACGCTATCGAATGTTGACTTCTGATTGACAAATTAAAAGAGGGGTTGATCTATACCTGATACTGCTCAAGTAAGTCAGTAATATTTTTCCCCTGAGCAAGAACCGTCTGTCTTTCCTCATCAGTTACTGCAAACAGAAAACCGTCATGTGATATTGTTTATTGTTTATTTTATTCCCGATAATTAATCGGAGATTTGCTCATCTGGAATAATAGTTTAGAAGAACGACCACAGCATTGCATAAGTTCTAGTATATAAGCTCCCAGATAACGGAAAATCACAGAAAAATCATCGCTATTTATTTCATTTATAACTTCCGGCTTAAGGTTGTGGAAAATGAGATAACAGTAAGTGTTTGAAAGGTGAAGAAATCTCTGATATCTAGTTAACAAAAACGACACTTGACTCGAGATATGAAACAGTTATGTATCCATTGTTTTTTGAAAACCTCAAAGTTTGTAGTCGGAAAATTGTTTCCTTAGTGTAAACAAACTTGAGAACTGCCTTTTGTGAATTAAGTGGATGCATCTATAAAAAATTGTTTCAATAGAAAATTACTTATTGAATTTAAATAGGCCTTTGTCATTAAATAGAGGATCGGAGTGTATTATATTATCACATGCTCTGTAAAATTCCAGTAATCTGATTGGTTGATTACCGTGTGAGTTTTCCCGTCTCACACGGCCGTCTCACACGTTACTAGAGGCAACCAGTGATGATCAATAGCAACGATGTGACGTCACTGATTATATCACTTCTAGCTAAGGAAAACAATATGACGTCATAATATTTCACAAACAAGTACGAATACAACGGTATGACGTCATATTGTTTCAAAGCGAAATCAAAAATTATAATAGTTACCAGAAGTACACCAGGTACTGAACACAATCATAACTGACCAAATCAAAATGCTTCAAGATTCCTAGACATGTGATAAAATCGTCATCACACGTTTCAGCTTATGTGATACAGGAAATATTCCACTCGGGTAACAATGTATCACCACTCAAGCTTCGCTTTCGTGGATGATACAGTATTACATTTCGTGGAATATTTCCTGTATCACATGCTGAAACGTGTGATAACTGATAGTATAATTTGATGGTAAAAATGTAGATCTCCAAAAATTTCATTAAAACGGGCCCTCCCGCGATATTTTAAAGCTCTATAGCAAACAAGGCTCTCTTCAAAATGCATGAATTTGGTTATCAAGAAGCTTCAAGTAGCTTCAATATTTTCAAAAATATGCACTAAAAATAAGCTCTGTTTCTTATTTTCGGAAAATTTAAAGGTCAGAGATAGAGATGTTAGGAATGCACAATAATGACGTCACGTCACGTGATATTACCAGGTTGGGGTATGGAGCTACTTCCCATGGAGATTTTGTCCCTTAGCCTCGCTGACGTGGCCTCCAACTGCATGTATTCAGCTAAAGGGGCGCTGTCCTTCGTAATGAGACTGTCGGCTATATCCATTATTGCTAACAGTTCTTCATCGACTGCAGCTAGAATTTTAGACTGGAATCACATATATCGTGGTTTAAATGTTAACTTTTAGACAGAAATCAATTTCAAACTCAAAATGGCATGTTTGGGGATACACATCATGATGTAACTCGCTGGGTGCCCGAACCTAATATATTGTTTATGAATCTCTTCTTTTAAGAAGCCAAGTCAAAATATTGAAATTGTAGGGATAGTTTTATCAAAAGATGTGAATCAACAACTGAATAAAGATCGTATATTAAAGAAATGTGATAAAATAGGCAGGCAAAGCTACACGTTTTAAAAAAATTGAACGGCGACGTGCATCTAATGTTATGACTAGCGGGTGTTACTGTCCACCTCTGAATTGTTTCCCATGGACCTAATTACAACGTTTTACCTTTTACCTGCAGATTCAGTCAAACAAGTAAACAGTTGATCCCTAGGGGAACATACATAATACGTTCGCGTACACGTGAAAGATATCTTAAAAACGTGTAGCTTAACCTCTCTCGTGTTTACTCAAATTCTCCCTTATATATATATAGAATGAATGAAGAAATATTTATGACATTATTCAAGTTATACCTCTTCAGCTTTCCATTCTCTGTATGTATTTGTGAGAACATGTAGAAGCTGTTGACACACATATCGTCTCTGTAAGACCCAGAGAAGGTAAAGCTTCAACTTCAACCTAAAATAAGAAACCGTCAAGTCTACGTAGCTACAAATTGTTATTTTTTAAATTGCTCAAAAATTAAAAATAAATATTCATGAACTGATAAAAGTTTTGAAAATTTTAAAATGTTGAGCTGAATTAGATTACAATCATGCCCAGTTAAAGACAAAATTACATTAAAAGGTCAAGAGAGACATGTTATAATTCTACTAAAATTAATAATTTCTAGAATCAGTATAATTTCTAGGACTTAGCTTTAGTATTAATAACTGTAAGGTGCAAAATACACATACCGTGTTGCCGTTCCTAATGGGGTTCTATCAGGTTGAGGAAACAATAGAGCCAAGGCTGGGACATTGCCCTCTCCTGTCGAAGAATTTTGCACCTAAAACGCACCACATGTACAAAACGTGTTCATTTTAAATGTGATAAGTAACAAAATATCTAATGAAATAGAAAAGAAAGGTAAAAACATGCGAATGGTATTTCGAGAAAACAGTAAACAGCATTTCTACACTTTGGAAATGCATAGCGTTATCACATTTTGGTACTGCACATTTCTCAAACTGAATTATTGCTATGTATGGGTGTTATCTCGAATGATATGAACTTGTGTACTTGTTCATTGGGTGAAAATCATAAACTACACTAGACGAAAATAAAATGTTCAAATCCCCGGGTGTAAACTCTGAGAAGGAGAGGTGTTGTACTATGGGTAACTTACAGTCCATGTGTTGTTTCTGGAGCCAATGATAGTAAGATCTTCATTTTCTACCACACCTAGCTACAATCAAGCAAACATTTGCTAGAATAAGGGGCTATTATAAAATAAACCAAAATGCATAATCTATATATTATCTACAAATAATTAAAAACGTATAGCTAATAATACCAGGCATCATATAATATTATGCAATACAAGCTGCAATTATAACACAACAGTCAGGGACACAGAGACACATTCTATAAACAGATATAAAGAAACTCAAAATAATTTGAAGTGCCATGATATACACAAACAGCCTACTGAGTCCAAATTGAAAGATGCAAGAAAATAAAATAACTTATAATCTGGCAAGAACACCAGTAGACATTACATCTCGCGAAGTATTTAGGAGTTTGGTGTATTTTCGGTTGTCAAAATGGAAGCGTCTGTTTATATTTCCCCTGAAATATTTGAATTATAGTTTGGTCAATGAATAAAGTTGATACTTTTCTAATTTCTCTTAACACCCGGACCCGTAGCCAGATTTGCCAAGGGGGGAGGGGGGTTCACTTTTTGAAAAATTCCAGGGGGTTCACTTGTGACAATTTTGGTCCAAAAATGGCCAAAATCACTTGAACGTGCTCAGAATGGCGAAAAACTGCATGATTTTAAAATATATTTTTGGCCGGGGGGCTACGGGCCTGACAACCGGGTTTGAGGTTTAAGTTTTAAATGAAGAAGCTATGCACATTTTACGTACTTACATTCTTGGATTTATATGTACACATAGACTTCCACTGTCTACCACATGGTGCAGTCACCGGGAATTTCACCTTTAACCCTTGTTCAATAAAGTCACGTGTGATCTTTGTCCATTCGGAGAATTTCTCGTGAAGATCCTAAGAAAAATAGTGCTTAAAATATCAACAATAAAAACAGCAACACTTCTTAATGCTGAAATGTAATAGTTTATTCATACGTTTTAATAAAATAGGTATGTCAAAGAAGATGTTAAGCAAAATGTTGCCTTGATGGCTCAGAAAAAGTTGAAGTTTTCCTATTTTCTCTTCATAGGCCTTGTTGCCCCTTTAGATCAAATATTATATCCTCACAAATTAACATAAAGGGACTTTTGACTATTAAATACTCGTATATGTACAAAAGTCTTTATGTACAAATTACTAAATGGTGGACTTACAACTAGTGAGGTAAGGAGACTGTTTGTTTCTTGTGGGTCATTGTCTGAAGTTACACCGAGGAAATCTTTGTTGAGACCAGCATCATACGTCTCATAATCTTTGTAAAACTGAAATTGATTACATTATTTAATCCCAAGACTCAGACAACGCATCAGTACTATCACTGAGATTACAAACAAATCAACATTACTAACAATGCATTAACAGTACAAACAACACATCAGAATTACAAACAACTGTACGGATCAGGACAGTAGACAGGATTTGCCAAGGGGGGTTCACTATTTGAAAAATTCCAGGGGGGTTCACTTTTGACAATCCAGGTCCAAAATCACTAAAAAAGTGCTCAGTATGGTGAAAAACTGCATGATTTGGAAAAAATTATTTGGCCAGGATGGGGGTTCGAATCCATCGAATCCCCCCTGGTTACGGGCCTGTGGATTCTAACGTACCTTTACGAAGTCATCAGAGACATTCGCTTGTTGCAACCGTTCCTGACACTGCTGAGCTTTTGCCATTACTCTCTGCAACACACAATGGGATTTTCATTACTACCAAATTTCCATCATGGTATTGTTATATGTTTGTTTCTGCATGTTAATCAATATGTTTCTTTTAATGGTAAGGAGGTTAATGTCATATATTTATATGTATTTAGTGGTGTAAGACCAATAATTGATAACTGTGGAGTTAGACCTTTGAATATAGAACAGTTTTAAAAGTTATAACTGATGTTTTGTTCTATAAACCAATGATAGTTAAGCTACACGTTTCTAAGAGAACGTGTACATGAACGTGTAATATAATGACCTCAAAGAATTTCTGCCCCCCCCCCCTCTTAAGTGGTTTTTCAATCACGTGTATTTTCCGTACACCTTATACACGTGCTATACTCAATTATTGAACAAGTAAATAATTCGAAGGGAAGAACAAATCACTAGAGGACAGTAATTCTACTCGTTCGCGTACAAGTCCCCTCAAAACGTGTACCTGAACCTTCCTAATGATCGAAGTCAAAGCCTTATACGAGTTGTTTCACTATTTTGCAATTGGCTTATCTTGGAACACACAATACACATCCCCTTTTCACTCTATGCAATAGTCCTAAAAATGTCTGACCATGGTTTTAAGCATGACTGTTGGGAGATTTATTTGATTGCGTGAAGAGTGAACAGTAAACACGGGGACTATTCAGGCCCCGCTGATATCGCGAGCAATGATGTTAGAAGCGGGGCCTTGAGATATATGATAAAATTGAAATATAAAATTTTCTATGAACCTTTAGTAAGTGAAACTCAGTACAACTGTATTTCGTAGTACCAGATAGTACAATGGCTATTTCAATGCCAGGGCAACGACGTTCTTCAACTATAACTATATTTTATCATATCTCTCAAAGTCCCGCTTCTAACATGAGCTCATTGCTCGCGATTTCAGCGGGAACTTGCTTGCGATATACGGGTCCTGGATAGTCACCGTGTGTAAAGATGTGTCCGTCAGTGCTCGAGATGTTTATGTGACAAATGCCTCAATAGAAATCTGGTACTACGACTTCCATGAATCCCAAAAATTGTATAATTCATGATTAATGTCTGATCACCTTGGCGATATGACATGACGTTAATATCATTTCGACATGCGTAACAGACTAAACACGATTGATGTAACCATTAAATACATGTGATGGTTAGACAACATTTAATTATGCACCGTGTACATAATTAATTATAACTGAGGGGTTGTAATTGTTTTGGAAGAGGGCCATTTGTAGTGCCAGTCACCAATTTTATTTTCCCAAAAAGTGTACTTATTTTTGACGCCCACTTACAACGCTTACCATCCAGCCTACATCGTTTTGAACATTTACAACGCCACTCCATATTCTCGCCGTCTATGTTGGTCTTGAACGTTTAATTTCTCCATGGTTTATGAGTCATTGTCGGATCTTTTTTGTTTTCATCAATATGAGGTTGAACAGAGTCAATGATCAATTCAAAATATTTTTTGGAAATCGAATTATTTCACAATGTATTATGTATAATTTGACATTGAAAGATGGTCGTTGTTTAAGCCTTTTTTAGAATCGTAGATGATGAGTTGTCAAACAGACTCAGTTGTAAATATGAACATGTTGATTTTTTCAGTGAGTGATCCCTATCATATGACCGGTTTCATGAGATTTTTAATCCTAGGGCATATGATACGGCGCCTCCAAAAGAACGACGTGGTGATTTATATTATTTCATCGTGGCTCATGGTGTAATGATTTACATGGGTTTGTGTTGTAAGGTTTCGAATGTTGCCATTTGTGTTTTCAAGTGCATACGAAAACATAAATTAGAAAGTAAGAGGAACACAATTATAGTTGTAGGGATTTCAATGTCACAGTGAGTCTGTGATACTCGGAATTTTTCGGAAATAATCGATAGATAATGAAAACAACAAATGAGACCAATTGTATCCTAATGAGGTTTCCGAGGTACTATTTGGAACATTATCAGCTCTATCGTATACATCACTGAATAGCAAATATCAAGTATTCCCAATGCGAATGGTAAATCATTCCGATGTCGATGGGTTGAAGCATCAAACTTATTTTTTATGCAATCCTTTTTCTTCCCAAGGGAAGTTTACATTTCTAGTTTGAACCCTATTATACGTTGTAATTACTGATAACAAAATACCCCCCCCCCCCCCCTTCATAAATTTTGCAACTGGAAATTCAATGTTTAAATATCAATTTTGTTCTTTATTTATAATAGATCGGATATTAGTGATCCAAAGGGGACACCAGGCTGTCACATTTTTGGAGGGTAGTGTATATTTAGTGGACTTAAGTCGGAGGGTTAATTAGTATTACGTCTTTTCCTTAAATCAAAATATTTTCTCGAAGTACCAACTGTTTCTCGAATTAATAAAAATAAAAAGGTTGTTTCTGATTGCTATATACAGACCGTGACATTTTGTTCAAAAAATCGACCACCCCCTATACTTCCTTCTCGAGCTAATCAAATATACACTCCCCTCCATAAGTTTGGCGACAGGAAGTATTCATCGGAAAACATATCAAAACCTGTTAATGTGTTTGATTCTTGGTTGTGTTCCTTAAGTACAATACACATATTTCGGAAATTGATGACAAACTTTACCATTTTTTAATTACCAAGCACAAACCAGCTGTTAATGATACATCAAAAAAGGAGACTTCGAGTTGCCAAATTTATGAAGGGGAGTGTAACATATAGGACATATAGCATAAGTCAATGTGAACTAATTAAAAATGAACTTGGAAAATCATCAAAATTCACCTGATCCTACTCTCGACGGTACGTGAATAATATAGAATTGATGAGATTGACGACAATATAATGCGCTTGAGAAAATAAACAGTGCTAAAAAGATGAGAGTATGAAACCGAGCAACCGTCAAGTTTATGTGCAAGCCATACATAGTTTGTGTACGCTAAATCTGCGGGCCATCCCATAAACGCATTCCGAAGGGGCTATACTTTAAATAAAACATTAGGGAGGTTAAGTTTCACATTTTTGAGAAAAGTTGTACATGAACGTGAAGAATAATGGCCCATTTGAAAATTGTTCTCCGCTTTGAAGTATTAAAATCCCCAATTGAGAACAATGATATGGGAAAAACTCATAGTTATGTCATTGAAAAAATTGAAAAGGGGACACTCATCTTCGCTGTCGTTATATTACATCCTCATGGACAAATTATCTTAATAGCGTAGCTTTACCTCCCGTCCAACGACGCCTAACATCGGACACAGTAAACAGTGGCTTTACCAGTAGCTTTTTAGTGGTAAAACAAAGATGGTCGAGCAATAATCTTGCGTTTCATTTAAGGGCAGGAGGGGGCTCCATAAGTGTCGAGCAAGATATACCATATTTGTTATCTAAAATATACAGACCAATAATATTGTTCGCGCTATATGTCACTTTGACAATAATTTATTCTCAATTTAAATATAATTGTAAATCATTCTTATTATGAATTCAAATGATTTAAATTTGAGCCTAATTTGCATTACTTTATTCAGTTTTATAAATTATTCATGGCTCCGCCATATGATAAACTCCTGCATTCTTTTAGTTCATTCGACTCGGCCTGAATTAATTTAATTAGGTATTTCAATTAATGAATTTAAATTGGATGGAATGAGTTGTACACAACCGTGAGGTTACAATATCATTCACTTCTTATATTGAGTCGAGGTATTGCGGCAAGACTTGGTCTGCATCTTTATTGCCATATTTCTATATTCTGACACCTTTGTGGTATTGCGGCTAGACTTGGTCTGCATCTTTATTGCCATATTTTCCATATTTATATTCTGACACCTTTGTGGCATTGCGGCTAGATTCGGTGTGCTTCTTTATTGCCATATTTTCCATATTTCTATATTCTGACACCTGTCTGTGTCAGTGCGAACAAGAAGTAAAGAGCTCCCACAATCCTTGGTTATATTTTGATAATAGGAGGTCAATGTAAGACGATGCCATCTATGAACTCTGGGAAATCTCCTCCTCTGTAATGATGTACGCATCGCTACATTCGTGAGAAAAATTGGAAATGCCAAGTTCAGTTTATGAATCAAACATTTCGAGCATTGTTCCACTTACAATAAAACTTGCTTGTTTTACTGATTAATCATACAGTTTTCATTGATTGTACTTGAATTGTTTTTCTTGAACACTTTGTTTGATGAGACCCTTGCATTGATTGATTTGAACATTCATTGATTGTACTTGAATTGTTTTTCTTGAACACTTTGTTTGATGAGACCCTTGCATTGATTGATTTGAACATGTCTTGCTTTGACAAGCAATTTGTTCGAACTGATTGGACTTTTCATCGATTTGAACCATCGTCGACACACTTGAATTGTTTTTTGTTTGTCTCCGGTGGTGATAAAATATAAAGTCTTAACTTAGATAAATGAATCCATTCTTCATTCGTATACTGAGGGACGATGATACTAACTCCTAATCGAGTGCGTTGGAATTTATTTCAACAGGTTTTAGTTTTTAAAATGTCTGAAAATACATTTTTGTACAAAATGGTGAGGTGTTTACCTCGCCTGCCTAACGCGTTGATATGCCAATGACTAGGTTGAAACGGTCTTGGGATCAGGTACCATGTAACGACCAACAAATAAATTGGAACATCAAGTTATCATCTCATTTTGTGACATCTTGCTAATTTTTACAAAAAGTCTAAAAGTCAAAATTCTACAGTCTATAGTAAAACGTTCAGTCATAATGTGGCCTTGTCGCCTTACTATTAAGGACAAAAATAATCACGTTTAAATCTTGTTGATATCATTGATATTTAAATAATATCGATTAATATACTAATATTAATAACACCACTAATCTTGATAAAGCAAAGATGATCATAAGAAAATAAACCTGAGTGCCAACAAATCATTCATCTCAAGAGGCTCAAGATCTGAAACTGATCTTACGCCCACATGGACAATGGATTATTGTTTAAGGAGTGATTCGTACCTCCCATATTTTGCAGGTAAGTATTTGACAGGTGTATTCATCGGCTGAGAGACTAGCTAAATGACTTGGGATAAAAACGGGATAAACACAAACAAAGATATTAAGATATTTAGACTTAAACGATAAATTGCATCTGACACGAATGGTACTCTCTCTAGTATATTCATTACAATGCTTGTACCGAATGGTATTATCTTTTGGAAATTATTTAGTTTAAACCCAGTGACCTTACCCCCTGCTCTGTGCATCACACCTCCGCAAGAGTAGGTGATGTGGGAGGGGGAGGGGCAAGAGTCCAGACACTTGGTTCAACAAGAGGGTTTTAGTGACTTTTAACCGATTATTTCATTTAGAAATATTCATGTTTGCGCATATCACTTCACTTGTCCAATGGTTTGAATCAAGTAAGATGATACAATCCAGTTTCAATGCAAAAAAAACAATACCAAGGATTTCCGGTCCAAACATTCGTCATAATCAGAAGAAAAAGTCGAAAATCAGTCGATAAGAACGATGGATGCAATTTGACATAATTATTTTAAATTATCTAATTATTTGGTTATGGAAATAATAGTACAATAACGTCATTTCTAAGGGCGATATAGTGAAATATTGGACCGAGGGCCGAAGGCCCAAGGTCCAATATTTCACTATATCGATCGCAGAAATGACGTTATTAGTATTATTACCACCGTTAACGACCAGGACTGAAACAGCAAGAAAATCTTACGCATTGAACGATATCTAATTGTGGACCACCACTATGACGTCACACATTTCTCAGGTCGATATAGTAAAATAAACGCCTTCTAAACTAGCACTAAAACCCCTAGAACTGGCCCGGCAAGGTGGTAATAATTATACTTTATAAAACCAGCAAAAGCAAAACTGTTGCATGACAACAAAGGTTTAAGTTAAAATTCCTTGACAACCTTATGCCAAATTCTTGCTTTAAGCCATCGTGTGACCCACACTCCCGTCCCTTACGACACACCCCACCTCCACAAAGAGACAATGCGATGAGTGGACCCGATGCAGAACTATTTAAAACTAACTTGCTGGATTTCGCCAAAATAAAATTTAAAAAAGAACAAGTAAATAAGTTTCTTCTTCTTTTGAACTCACCTTCTTGATCATGACTCCAAACCTTTCAAATCAGAAATGCACTTTAACTTAAGTGTCCCAAACATGTGCCTCTCTGCATTGTCTTGAAACCGGATTAATACAAATATTGCACCCCCGCATCAGATTCTAACGTGCCTTTTTAAAAATTCTCAAAAAGTCCGTGTCGTCAGATTCGTGGAACATTTACCATTGCAGCTATGTATAGAATAATTGGCTCTAAATAGGTACAAAGACGTGATCGGAATTCACTTAGTTTTTTATAACTACATATAGTCTACTATTGTATACACATATGATAATGAGCCTAGCTAATGGTCGTATCTAGTGTTTGCCTTCGATCGATAAAACATACGTAAAAGTACTTTTGCGACAAAAAAAGAACTGAAAAAATTACGTTTTTGGTGTTTATTTTCTTCTGCCAATAGGAAAACTGGATGAAATTACAAAAAATCATACATTTGATACCGTTGTCGGATTAGGTAGGTCTAATGGAATAAATTGCCCGGCGTTGTATCTTTACCCTCTGTATACATTATAATTCCAAATTATCCCATTCTCTAATAGACAAACAAAAACGCAAAAACCTAACTAATCAAAGTTCGTAATCGTGCAAAGCTTTTATTTTTGCAAGAGTTGATTTAAAGTGACAACATGATCGTGTATTAGTATGTGATGTGATAGATAATTTCCTTGTTAAGAGATTGATAGTCATCATTTCCGATCCCAAAATTAACATCTCTGAAGTCACTTTAATCTCTCATTAGAATAATTCCAAACTAAAGTTCTGCACTTAATATTTATACATAGGTCATATTTGCTTATGTTTACACGTTTATCAAACATCTGAATCTGTTGCATTTTTATTAAACATTAGGCATCCGTAACAAACTGTCACACTTTTGTAACCATTCGCAGTAACATACCAAATAGTTACAGTTAGTCATATTGATAGTTTGTTAAATACTGGTAACTAAAAATGGTCGGAATAGATAATGTACATAGCTCGTAATGACTATTGCACATGTGCCTATTTCAGTTTAGTTATAACCCACCATTCTTAGATGGATTGAACATGAAGTTGTAACCTGTGATCCTTATTTGAAACAATACATTTACACCGCCTGCTTTTCTGCTTGGTTGTTTGTTTGTATTTCTGTGCGTTTGTTTGTTTCCATAGTAGTATGCTGTCCAGATGATGCATATAAAACAGCAAACAATTTTCAATTGAGAATCAGTGAGAATCTTTATCTCACAAAAGTCTCGACATAATGTCAGCATAACCCACTATTTAGTATGAAAAAAAAATCGTTTCTTCATTCTATGTACTTGAATAGCACAAAAAAAACATAAACGTACAAGATGTACTAATGACATACATGTCAGTTAATATGACATTGACAACTTATGCAGGTGTATGATGAATTATTGAATGGAGAAACACATGAAGGATATCATTATTATTTATGATGGCGTGCTGGAACGATTTTCAAGACACGTATAAATTATATTTTGAATATAGTGTATCAATAAAAATGAAAGAACAATCACGTGGATGGTTAAAGCGCGCTTTGATAGAAGCGAGTATTTTAGAATCGAAGTATTTCTATCTAGTGTCAAAGAGACTGATAATGTGTATCATTACAACGTGCATGACGAGAGTGTGTTTGATGAAAATGTGTATTATGAGAGTATGTATGACGGCAATGTGTATGATGAAAATGTACATGATGATAACGTGTATGATGAGAGTGCGCATGATGATAACGTATATAATGAAAGTGTGTACGATAATTATGTGTATGATAAAGGTGTGTATGATTGGAGTGTGTTTGATGACAACGTGCAATGAATGATTTGTGTGTGTATGATGACAACGTGTATGATGAGAGTGTGTATGATGATTAAGTGTCCATTTTATTTAACATTAATGATGTAAAAAGTGTCTGATAGTAACGTAATGTGTGTTATGATAAATGTATGCAAAGAACTAAATTAATAATTAATAATAAATATATAATATTTTGGATCATATTAACTCGGATTTGTTGATATAGCTCGATGATGACGGTTTGTTACATCACGATAATACAACGATTGCATATACGATGATAACTTACATGTTGATATGATGAATTATGAATGTAACAAATATAACTGGTTAAACCTGTTGATTTATTTACTTGCTCTCAGCACTCTCTTTAATTAGATTTGACAGGCGCTTCTTGCATACCAGGTCGAAAATATCACATTATAGGTGCAGACAACAAAGCTGAGTAACCCCATAAGGTTACCGATGTATTTAGTCTTGTCAGAATCGTACAGTTAAACCTGTAATGTTGAACATCTTATTTCGAGCTACTAGACATTTTAGTGTGTATTGGGGGTCATTGTTTTTGTATCATTATCAGATTTGAAATTCAGTGGGATATTTCACGGTATTATTCCTTCATGTAAGTTTATCTGAACCAGAGCAGTGCTTTAAGCATTGCAAAGCCATTTAGCTCATGGCGCATAATCACGTGACAACGATGGAACCAATTTTACGTCTCATCTATGCCTACGAGAAAATAGTGAATAGTCGTATTCAACAAATAATAAAGTAATTCATATTGGATTAAACTTACCTGTTTTTCGGGCGAAATCCTCTTTTTGAACACAAAAAGAGAGCCACTGTTCGAATTTTCACGTTTGACGTTACTTGTGCCGTTCGAATTTACACCGACGTGGTGCGTTGCCTTATCGTTGTGTGCGTCACCGTTCTGTAAAATCTGCTCCTTTTGTTTGACTGTTGGAATAAACCCGTTATGGCTTGCGGATTGTACTATTCCGTTTGAAACTGGTGTCTTTGGTTTCGACGTTCCTACTAATCCGCCGTTATGATGGTTGACAGCATAACCATTCACTCCTGGAAATATAACGTTAAACGTGAAATTAACTTGAAAAGCTTATGAAGAAATACTATACTACTTAGGGACCCAGCCTGAATATTTTTGTTTTTGAATATTGGAGAGTATTACGCGAGATTTTTTCATTTTCTTGTTGGAAAATATATTTATTTTATGATGTGGGGTGATATCTAGAGTTTGAGGCTTGCGAAAATAAGATATCTTCATCTTTATACCCCCCACCCTATAATTTCAGGGGGGTCAGAAGAAAATAAACTTTAATTCATAACTTTGGAAGTAAATGAGATTCATATTTGATTTTTTCACCAAAATTTAAAGAATGACATCAGTAATGCAGAAAAAAATATTTCAAACGAAAATAAGCTAATTTGCATAATTTAACCCTTAAACCGCCATAAAAACTATTAAATAACGGAATGATAATAAACAACTTTTACTGTAATTGCCTTCATATGAAGTTATAACTTATGAAATAATTCCTAAAAATGCATCTATATATGTATATTAGATGTGCAAAATATTAAAAGTGTATCTTACATAACGACTGTGAAAAATATTTCTCCCCTTATCCTAAAATTGAAGGGAGGGGGTCAAAAGAAAATAAACTTTAATTCATAACTTTGGAAGTATATAAGATATAAACTTAATTTTTTCACCAAAATTTACAAAATAATATCAGTAATGGAGAAAAAAATATTTTGAACAAAAATAAGCCAATTTGCATAATTTAACCCTTAAACCGCCATAAAAACTATTAAATGACAAAATGATAATATACGACATTTACTATAATTACCTTCATATGAAGTTATAACTGATGAAATAATTCCTCAAAATGCATCTATATATGTATAATAGATGTGAAAAATATTAAAAGTGCATCTTATATATAGATTGTGAAAAAATTTCTCTCCCTACCCAGATATTTCAGGGGGGTCAACTGAAAATGGACTTTAATTTATAACTTTGGAAGTATATGAGGTATAAACCTATTTGTTCACCAAAATTTATGTAATAACATCAGTAACTAAGAAAAAACATTTTTGATATGCAAATAAGCTAATTTGCATAATTTAACCCTAGACAGTCATAAAAACCGTTAAATGACAAAATGATAAAATACGACATTTATTTTAATCAACCTCTCATGAAGTTATAACTTATGAAATAATTCATATAGTTGCATTTATATATGTATAACAGATGTGCAAAATATTAAAGGTGTATCTTACATAACGACTGTGAAAAAATTCTCCCTCCACCCAGATATTTGAGGGGGGGGTCAAAATGAAAATGGACTTTAATTCATAACTTTGGAAGTATATGAGGTACAAACTTAATTTTTCACCAAAATTTATGTTATAACATCATTAATTCAGAAAAAATATTTGTTGATATGCAAATAAGCTAATTTGCATAATTTAACTCTTATAAAGTAATAAAAACTGTTAAATGACGAAGTGATAAAATATGGCATTTACTTTAATTGACTTCTTATGAAGTTATAACTTCGAGAAAAAATGTACAACAGATATGCACAATATAAAGAGGTTATTTTATATAATGAGTGTGAAAAGAATCTTACACCCTACCTTAATAATTTTGAGGGCTCGGGGGGGGGTTAAAGAAAATAATAGACTTTAACTCATAACTTTGAAATAATTTAAGAAAGAGCTTATATTTCTTCGCTGAAAATTGAGAAATCACATCAATAATGAAACGAATATTACATGGGGACAATACTATATTTCAACTAATTTGCATAATTTAAGCTTCAAACAGTCATGAGAATCATTATAAGGCAAAGTGATTCTATACTGAAATTGACTTCACATGAAGTAAGGACTTTGACAATATATCCTTTCTTAATACTAGCATTTAAATGGAAAAATGATATCAACAATTATGAAGCTATTTTTCCCAACTATTTCAATGCCCATGGAGATTTTCATAGATATAATACTAGAGGCAAATCAAAATTCACCCTTCCTAAAGCAAAACTGAAAATTATGGCAAAAACAATAGCCTTTAGTGGTTACTCCATATGGAACAATCTCCCAGAAGAAATAAAAAAGTCAAATTCCATTTCTTTTCTTAAATCAAAACTGAAGAAGCATATTCTCTTAGCTTATTAATCATTAGTTGACTATATCATTTCTTGTTTCTTCAGTAAGAAGGGTAGGCTCTCAAGGGAGGTACATGGGCCAACCTGGGGGCTGCTCCAAACTACTTAAGATCTAAAATAATAATTCTGACCATACCAACCTTGGGGAAGGTAAAATAATAACTAATATTTTATAAGAATCACACTTTTAAAGATTATTTGCGTCAATGCGGTAGCCTGGCATCTTTAAATAATAATTAATGAAGCTACACATTCATAAAATTTCCCCATGGCATATGGCACCTTCTTGGCTTCAAATGAAACGAGCATCATGGATCCCCCATACCTTTATTTATTATAATCTAACTTTTGTGATTACATATCCGGTTTGATTCGTTGACAACATAATGATATACTTCATGATTTAACTACTATATGTACGGGTATTTAAGCATCACCTGTGGTGCCACCTATTATTAATAATATGTGTACACATAATGATTAAATGTATGAATAAATTGAGTTGAATTGAACTTGCAATGTTTCAGAATAACCCTTAAAAAGGTAACCATAACAATTCCAAAGTTTATTGAACCATAATCAGAGTCACTGTGAGGACTGGTGTCATATTCTAGGTTGTAGGTACCTGATGCAGTGAAAATGTCATCATATATATTTGGGTTAATCCACTTATTCCCGTCCACACTCACTTTCCTTTGAGCCGCATGAACATGCTGCAAAACATTCTGTACCTGCAGTGGCACATGAGCAAGTGGTTTAACATATTGCTTTGTCCTTGTATCATTTGCATGTGCAAAATGACTTTGGGATTTTTGTTATATCAAGTTTCGGTTTTTTGGTCATTTTAATGATCTCAAGAGTAATATGAACCACTTGACATCCAAACCCATTCCCTGGCTCTGGAATCTCAAAAAGTGGTTTGTCAGCATTCATTGAAATGTATAATTGTTATAAAACAAAAATGCATCCATAATTAGTGGTAATGCTCTAATATCATTTTGGATGCTGCAAACAAGTGTAATACATCCAATGATAGTTTGTTTTTATATTGAAATATAAACAAAAATAACGCAACTTCCCTAGACCAGAGATTTTGCCCATGTGGACAGTCAATGGAGACAGAAACTCACTTTAAAGTAGAATGTCATATGTTTGAAAATGAACGATTAAGTCTGTTTGCCTAAATGACTGATATTCATAGTGACTTTTACATGTATACAAGTCTAGGAAAATATTGTATAATAATGAATGAAAAAAAACTGTTCAAAGGACACTTGGAAAATGTATGATAAATATGTTAGTCAAAAGGCGTGAAATAGTTACATGCGATGGTCTCTAATAGGTCAGCATCAACCAGGAATTGTTTTAATTCATGTATGTATCTTAACGTAACATCTTTAGTGCGTTAGACTTTAATAAATAAATTTACTACTACTACTAGTATAATATTGTTTCCATGTAATATTTGTTTCATTCTTGATGTGATTTCTCAATATTCTGGCGAAGAAATACATGTATAAGCTCTTTCTTATACGATTTCAAAGTTATGAATCAAAGTTTATTATTTTCTTTTAACTTCCCCCAACCCTAAAATATTAGGGTAGGGTGTGAGATTTTTTTCACACTCATTATATACAATACCCTTTTTATATTGTGCATACCCGTTGTAAATGTATTTCTAGGAATTATTTCACAAGTTATAACTTCATAGAAGTCAGTTAAAGTAAATTTTGTATTTCATCACTTTGTCATTTAACGTTTTTATGACTGTATAAGGGTTAAATTATGCAAATTAGCTTATTTTCATATCAAGATATTTTTTCCGAATTACTGACGTTATAACATAAATTTTGGTGAAAGAATTAAGTTTGTACCTCATATACTTCCAAAGTTATGAATTAAAGTCCATTTCCATTTGACCCCCCTCAAATATCTGGGTAGGGGGACAAATTTTTTTCAGCGTCGTTATGTAAGATACACTTTTAATATTTTGCACATCTGTTATACATATATAGATGCATTTTTCGGAATTACTTTATTTGTTAAAACTTCATGAGAGGTCAATTAGAGTAAATGTCGTATTTTATCGCATCGTCATTTAACAGTTTTTATGACTGTATAAGGGTTAAATTATGCAAATTAACTTATTTGCATATCAAAAATATTTTTCCTGAATTACTGATGTTATTACATAAACTTTGGTGAAAAAATTAAGTTTGTACCTCATATACTTTTAAAATTATGAATTAAAGTCCATTTTTATTTGACCCCCTCCCCTCAAAAATCTGGGTAGGGGGAGAATTTTTTTCACAGTCTTTATGTAAGATACACTTCTGATATTTTGCACATTTATAATACATATATAGATGCATTTTTAGGAATTATTTCATAAGTTATAACTTCATATGAAGGCAATAACAGTAAATGTGATATAACATCATTTCGTCATTTACTAGTTTTTATGGCAGTTTAAGGGTTAAATTATGCAAATTAGCTTTTTTTCATTCAAAATATTTTTTTCTTCATTACTGATGTTATTTCATAAATTTCGGTGAAAAAATTAAGTTTGTATCTCATATACTTCCAAAGTTATGAATTAAAGTCTATTTTCTTCTGACCCCCCTAAAATTATAGGGCGGGGGGTATAAAGATGAAGATATCTTATTTTCGCAAGTCCCAAACTCTAGATATCACCCCACATCATAAAAGTAACTTATTTTCCAACAAGAACTGAAAAAATCTCGCGTAATACTTTCCAATATCCATTTTCACTTTCTAGCTGTTTCTCAGAACTTGGGTCCCTGAGTATACATTATATCTCAATTTCGTATTTCGTATCTTTTAGGTGATTTCGTAGAGATTATTTTGCAATGT